CCCCAAAACCCCAAAACCCCAAAACCCCAAAACCCCAAAACCCCTGATTCATGGTCCAAAGCTGAAGGTAGCTAAAATTATTACAAAAATCCCAGCCAAAGATCCCGAGTATCAATAAAGTCTCTAATCCTATGCTAAATCCTAAGACTCCATGTCCTCTAAACACATCATAGTACTAGGATGCATAAAGGAAGTTGCTTAACTCATTCGAACTATCTAAGGGGATAAAGTTAGCTGTGATTACTTAGTATACCCAAGTTTTCCTACTACCATCAAGAATTATCCAGAAAAGACTTTCCGCAAATCATAGATATATTTATTAATCATGCTGCTCAAGGTATTTTCTGTGGTTCTCATCTCCAAGCTTAGCGGCATATGCAAGATCTCCTGGCTTCCATTTAGCTGGACAGACCTCTCCCTTCTCATCAGCGTACTGGAAGGCTTGGACTAATCTAATGAACTCATCTGGGGATCTTCCGATCTGAGTATCGTTAATTGACATGTGTCTGAGGATACCTTCCTTGTCAATGATGTAGGTAGCTCTGAAAGCACTTCCTTCGTATTCTCCATGATCGATGAAGCATCCATATGCCTTGGAAATCTTGTGGGATCTATCTGAGATCAATGGCATTTCTACTTCTCCAAGTCCTCCCTTCTTCTTTGGCTTCATATCAAATTCCATGTGAGTGAACTTAGAATCAGTGGAGACTCCAAGAACTTCACAGCCGTGCTCTTTGAAGATCTTAGCGGCGTCAGAGAAGGCAATGATCTCTGTTGGGCAAACGAATGAGAAATCCATTGGCCAGAAGAACAATAGAACATATTTTCCTCTGTAATCTGACAACTTTACCTTCTTGAACTCGTAGTCCTGGTAGGCAGTTGCTTCAAAATCTGGGGCTGGATGCTTAACAGCAGCAGTTGGGGTGTAAGAAAGTGGAGATGCTCCTTCCATATTTCGAGAAAAATAAATTTATTAGAGTGGTTCTATAATATTCAAGCTTTAAGGGGTTTTGGGGTTTTGGGGTTTTGGGGTTTTGGGGTTTTGGGGTTTTGGGG